CTTTGAGACTAGCTAGTCTTCCCAATTGACCTCCTTAGGTTTTGCCTCCCCTCTCCCTAGCATTACCATCTTCGTAACTCTCCTTGCAAAAGGCTGTTTGTTTTTTTAAAGCCCTGTTATGAAAATGTGTCTTCTAAGTGAATCTCCAGCCCAGTTAATAAAAATGAAAAATGCCCCCCCATCCCCAACTGTACATCAGAAAAGCTCTGAGCAATGTGGAGTAAATGTGAGGGAAGTGAAAAGAGAAGGGGGACATTTCTGAGTAAAATGTGATGAATGCCCACTGAGACGTAACAAGTTGGCATTTTTCTGATCCAACACATAAACGTTTCCTCCGGTAATAATCCTTGTGACCTGTGAAGCAAAATCATCCATAGAGACTCGGCATGAGTCACTTATTTTTGCCAAGCGCAGCTGGTTCCTTGTCAGGAGCAGAGCTTGGACACGATACCTTCCTGAACTGCAGCACCCTGACACCACCGTCTGTCTTGGTCACCGGAGGATTCTGGTAATCTGTAGTCCAAAAGGAAACTTTCCAAGCTCTGGTCAGGAGATGCTAAGGCAAGAACCCAAGAATCTCAACACAGCTGAGCAAAGGCTTCAGACGGGAGCAGCCTAACCTGATCTTCACCAGATCCAATGCATCTGGAGCAGACCAGGGGCCTTTTCACACTACACAATTATAGCAGAATGACTCCACTTTAACTTCCTTGGTTCCAGTGAGACGGTAGTACCAGCAAGTGGGAGGAAAAGAATGAGGGTACAGGTAAGTGGGTGGTGCTGGGAGAAGCCAGAGGTGAAATGCAAGACTGATGACTTTAGTTGCAGCTGAAAACAAAGGCATGGAGGTTATCAGCCCATTGTGACCTCTGTGGCCTGCAGAAGGACAGGACTTACTCGTACTCCTCTACCAACACCAGAACCCACTGCTGCCTCCATCTCCACGTCTCCATCTCTATGTCTCCGTCTCCACATCCACATCCACCTCCTGGACAAACAGCTTTCCCAATTCTTCATCAGTTTTTCTGCATCTGAGAGCACATCCCAAACATCTGGCTGGCCCATATTGGCTGCCAAAAGGCACATGATAAAAGGACGGGGGACAGATTCTGGTTGTGAGTCAAAGAGTGAAGTGAAGCAGGAGGCTGGAGGGGGGAGAGTGCTGTTTGTGGGTGCCAGAGACTGTGTGTTTCTCCTCCACCCCACAAAGATCAATAGGAACTTGATGAAATGAAAGAACCCACTCTTAGAGGCCCTCTGCCTACAAAGACTGCTTATGTCAATGACAGAGTCTTGTCCAATTCATGGGGGCTAAAGCGATGATGCAGGTGTGGGGGTTTTTTGGCCATGTAGAGAATCTACTTCTGGATCTCCAGCTTTTCAGTGCATGAAAAGACTAAAAGGAAGCAGTCAATGCACAGCAATTAAAGTCTGCCAGATTGTTGCATTCAAAGGAGTTTGCAATTTCCCACCTAGAATTAGAACACTTTCCTTGCAAATAATAGACTGGCTGGGCCATTTGAATTTCGAAGGAGCTAATTTCCCTGCCTTCTCTGACAGCTGGGTGTCCCGCTACTTATCAGTCTTGCCGTGTCCCTTTTGGAGAAGCAATATCCACTTTATGGGGAGTGCTAAAGGGTCTTTAATTGCCCCTTGAGTGTGGATTGTCAGGGCGTGCATCGGAGCACATGTGTGGGCACAGGCATGTTTAGCAAACCAACCCCCTAGGAGCAGCAAAAATTGGTTGTGGCCACTGTATCCATGAAGGTTTGTCCATGCACAGCATGGATCAGCAAAATGAGAGAGAGAAAATTAAGGGCACAGGAAGGCAAGCGCTGGATGCCCAGGGATAAGCATGCATTGTGAACACTTTCAGCTTAGCTGGCCGGAGTTCCTACTGAGCTGCTTCAAGTTGTCATGACGGGACCTTGATGATCATTATCTCCCTAGGAGCTCCTTCAATGACTCTGCACACCGACGTCTCTGCTCTCCCCAGAGATTAGCGACAAGTGTGTGTCTGTGTGTGTGCATCCGCTCACAATTCCCATTATAGATAATAATGCCAACTGCTACTGCCCTTCCACTTCCCCACCCAAAGGAGCCACGCCGTGTCTCACAACGTTCAACAGGCTTGTGTTTTCCGATTTCGCAAAACCAGCTAAACAGATCTTTACGGCTGTTATTTTTCCTTCAGCAGAAGCTTGGATCCTACTGTGCATCTCAAAGAGAGTAAATCCATTGAATCAATGAGAGTTACCATTCAACAATGATTCCAATAAGGAATCAAGAATTAAGGCAGTCTGACACCATCTTAACTGTCATGGCTCCATCCTATGGCATCCTGGGATTTGTAGTCTGTTTGTGACACTAGAGGTCTCTGACACAGAAGGCTAAATATATCACAAAACTACAAATCCCAGGGTTCTGTAGCATTGAGTCATGGCAGTTAAAGCAGTGTCAAACTGCTTTAATTCTGCATTGTAGATGCAGCCTGATCTAGTTGGGACTAACCTAGAGGATTCAGGCCAATACCTTATTGATATGCAAGGTGCTTCCTTTTATTTATCGAATTTATATTACACACAGAGAGAGAGAATTTTTAATATTATAAAACAATATATAGGAAAATATTACAAATACAAACTACATAAGTAAGTGCACAGGCTTACACAATACACAAAATGGCATAACGAAGAAAAAAGAAATATATGTGACTTCCAATTTACTAACTGATGGTTATATAAATCAAGTTGTTCTACTTCTTCCAAATATTTAAAATGCACTTTGACCTGATATTCTATTATTTGAATCCTAAAATTTCTACTTCCCCCCATTATTTTCTCATAAAATCAATTACTGATTGTCATTCTTTCTTGGAAAATGTTAATAAACCTTTCTACCTATTCAAGTTTATAAAAGCTTCTGGTTTAGGGGTGGCCCTTGTCCAGGAAAGAGTTATTCATTCGTGTAAAAACACATTTGCGTTTGAAAGGTGTTGTTGATCTTATCAGTAACAATAAATGAATATTGGACAAAACCTTGCCAAAATGTTCTAATCAAGGAAAAAGGGAGATTTCTCCTCATCTGCTACCCATAAAAGGGTAAGGAATGAAGGAAGAAAAACAGAAGTTTTTTTTTTTTTAAGAACGAAAGAGCTTATTTTGCATTAACACTCTGGTTTAAAGTATTGTATAAAATATTCAAAATATCCAAAATATTCAGGTTGAAAAGAAAATGGTACGTTTCCTTTTCCTAAATGAGATTTGTCAGCGTTTGGGCACAAAAGGAGGAAAGTGTTGTTTTCTAATCAACATTTTGGAATGAAATATGCTATTTTGACACGGTGCGTCACTTTGAAATGAAACAAAGTCGAACGCAACAATTTCATGATCAAGCCTCAATTTGAGTTGTTTCAATTTTTTAAAAGGAAGCTGGGAAAGAGAAGGCGGGGAGGGAAAACTTATTGAAATTAAACATCTCCCACAGGGGAATTTCTGCCTTTGCTAAAGTCTCATTTATAGAAGAAAGAACGTTCCCTTCCCTTGCACTGAAAATAAGTTTTGCAATGAAAACTATGCTCTGGGTCTTGTAGTGAGTGAGTTTGTCTAGCTTTTCACAATTTGGGCTAAACAGTTCTAAACTTAAATAGCTCACTCTTTGCTCATTGCTTGAGAAACGGGGATATCCTTGGCTGCACTCGCACTGCAGAAATAATCGAGTTTGACGCTACTTTACTTGCCATGCATCAATGCTATGGAATTCTGGAATTTGTAGTTTTGTGAGATATTTTGCCACCTCTGTCAAAGAGCTCTGGTGCTATAGCAAACTACAACTCCCAGGATTCTATAGCATGAAGCCATGGCAGTTAAAGTGGTGCCAAACTGGATTATTTCTGCAGTGAGGATGCAGCCCTAGACTTGGTACCTGAAGGAATATGAGCTTCTTGGTAAGACTTGGGAAGATGTGATGCTTTATTTGGCTACATGGGATCTTCTCAACCCATTTCAACCCATTTCATACAAGAGGATACTGAAAAGTTCTTGGCCCAACCAAAAAGGGAATGACCTAGAGCCATGAAACCGACATGCTATCCCACATATTCACCCCAAAGATCAATGCATTTGGCACATCATTTCTCAAGTTTCATGACAAAAATTCTGATGTCCTACTGAAATACTGCTCTGCTGCCCCTATCACGTCTGAATCATTTGAAAAAATCCTTTCTTTCAAACTCTTTTAAAAGTTTGGAAGTAGGAAATAATCTAATGGACCAAGATCTGGTGAGTAGGGTGGATGCTCTATGTACTCAGCCTTCAAATTCTTCAAAACTTTCATTGACTTGCCAGCCCTATGAGCAGGTGCATCGTCTTGCAAAAAGAGAATGCCTTTCTGCAGCTTTCCTCACTATTTTTACTTCAATGCCTCCTTTAATCAGTACAAGTTCATGCCACCAAAATGGCTTTGACTCGTGTAGTAAATGATATTTTAACGGCTAAATCTCACAGTCAGACATCTGTGTCGATCCTGTTGGATCTTTCTGCAGCCTTTGATACTTTGGAGCATCCGAATTTACTATTACGGTTGGCATCACTAGGAATCAAGGGGAACACTTTGTCCTGGTTTAAATCCTTTTTGTTTAACTGCTGTTCCTCCTCTGTTTCATTTCAGAGATCTATGTAAAAAGCCTTTTCTGTAACTGTAGGGGTGCCACAAGAAGGGGTTTTGGATTCTCTTGGATTTGTTTTTTTCATTATTATACCTTCACACTTGGATTTTTAAATTTTAGATTTGGGTTTTCAGTATCACATTTATGCAGATGAAACACAGATTTTCCAGAGTTTTAAATCACTTGATGCCTCTGTGTGGAAGTCTATGATGGATTGCTTGTCAAGCATCTCTTTGTGGATGACCACCCACCGGCTTAAGCTAAATATGGAAAAAACAGAGATCTTGGTGTTTCAGCCTGACTGTCCAGTAGCCCATCTTTCATGTTCTCCACATCCAGTGTATTTTAGTGGTTTGAACATTGGAATATGACTCTAGAGACCAGGGTTCAAATCCCAGCTCAGCCATAGATACCCGCTGGATGACCTTTGGCAAGTCACATGCTCTCAGTCTCAGCAGAAAGCAATGCCAACCCCCCTTTGAAGAAAATTGCAAAGAAAACCCCATGGTAGGTTCATTTTAGGGTTGTCATAAGTCAGAAATGACTTGAAGGAAAACAACAACAACAACAGCAACAACAACAACAACAACGGTATGTAAGGAGCTCTTGTAGCATTTCTGAGACTACCTGAAAGAAAAAAGTTGGCAGCATCAGCTTTCTTAGACTAAAGTCTACTTCCTCAGACAAATTTCTCCAACTGTATCTGAAGAAGCAAGCTTAAGTCTAGGAAAGCTCATGCTGCCAACTTCTTTTTTTCAGTTAGTCTCAGATATGCTACAATAACAACAGTGTGTTTACAGGGTTGCACAGTGGTTCCTGTTTCTGTTGTCATGGACCTCAGAGTCCTGCTGGATGACCATTTTTCCCAGCATCTCTTTATCAGAATGACAGCAAAGGCATGTTATTTCTATCTTTTGAACATCCATAGGACCTGTACATTTTTGGCCTTTGAGACTGACCATCCACTTATCCAGGCTTTGGTTATGTCATGCCTGGATTATTGTAATAGGCCACTGGTGAGTTTGTATTCTTGTTCTCTTCTTCCTCTGGCCTTAATTCAGAATAGTGCCTCCCAGGTTGTTTCAGATCTCCTTTCACATTTCTTCCCTCCATAGATCCCTTCACTGCCTACCAGTTTCAAACTTTTGGTTCTGGTATTTAGGGGTCTGCGCTCTAATCTCCTCCAGGACCTGGCAGCTCAGCTAGCATGATATTCAGAGTTTAGGAATTTAAAACCTACGGGCAAAGGATTATTGTCTGTTCCACAACTCTATCAAGGCTGTGAGCTTTTCAAGATCTGCTTCTGCATGTGTGGAACAGTTGTCCTTTGGACCTCTGACTAGAGGAGGATCTCACCCATTTTTGTAAGGGATTGAAGACCTACCCCTTTGGTTTTCTGGATTAAACTGTTGAGTTGTACCTGAGTTTTCTGAGATGGGTAACACAAGGTGGTTGGTTGGTGATTTTATATATATTTATAGTGTTTTTGTTTTTGTTTTGTGTTTGTCTTTAACTGTATAAGTTTGATGTTCCACCCTTTGGTGGAAAGGGCATTATAAATGAATGTGGTTGTTGTTGTTACATCTAGGAGAACAATCATAACCCATTTTATTTATTAATATGTATTTAGTTGAAACATTCTGATGTCATTTTTCATCATATGAGATTTCAGTGTAGTATATAGTGGAGGAGGGGATTGAGAATTTACAGAGACCTGAACCCTGTTAGTTAGACCCGTATAGAGTAAATCCATTGAATCATTTGCTAAAGTGAATGTCAGCACCTAGGTAAATCCTATGGGTCAGCTCTAAATACCATTTGTCTCTCTGGAAATGTGAGAGACCATTCAAGTACAGAAATCTCCACACCCTCCCACTCACAGAAAAGTTCCACCAGAGAAAGAAAGAAGATTCTCCCCTTGCATCTCATGCAAAAATCCAGGGCCTAGCCATCCACTCATCCCACTCCTCAGATCATCTCTTGCAATTCCTGACGTCAAAGCACCACAAGCATTAAGAAGGCACATTGCAGATAGTGCGCTCACCCAGCAAACAGCTTGTGCTTGAAGACGCTTTGACATCTCTTCTGCAGCTTTGCTTCTATGATTCATGTAAACTAGTCAAACCAACCCTGTCCAGGGAAGTTGAGAAAGGAATCTTTTGCTTTTGGCAGCCTCTTGTTAAGACCTAATTAGAAGCGTATCCTGCTTCTAAAGAACCCACCAAGAAACCTTCTCCAACTGCAGATTGCAGCTGACGCACGAAGTATACTCATTCACCCTCCAGTACCCAGATGCCAGGTGAATCATGGCACGCTCAAGACCACCCAGAACAGAATCTATTCCTGCTCCCCCTTTTCCATTTTTACCTTCAGTTGAAAGCAATTTCTGCTGATGAGAGATGGCATGGCCATTTTCTCCATCATGTCAGTTGTCAAGGAGGCCGGCAGATTTTTGCACACAAGAGGAGGTTTCATAGCCCATAACTGTCAAGTGTGGAGGAGAAACAATTCAGTCGGGAGGGTGGCGATGTCCTCTTTTTTAAGAAAAAAAAATTAAAAAGAGCAGGGTCCAAAATAGTTTAATAGGTTCCAAGTCGATAAAGAGAGATGTCAAATGAGCTGTAAGAGATTGGAGGAGCTTGATGGTGTAAATGAGGGGCGATTATAATGCGCCATTAACGTTTCGCTTCTGCATCGCCAGGCTGGTTTGACAATGGAGGTGAAGCTGAAGACTGTGACGGTGTCACTTGGAGCTCTGAGGCTCACGGCTTCCCCACTGTTCACTGTTCCTGATGCCTGACATATAGCTATGCCAGTGAGGGACTCCTCAACTGAGCTTGAAAGCAAACGTTTGTGACCAAAGTGCTGCTTGCCATCAAAAGCAATCCCTTCTGTTCCCCAACAGTGTGTCACTTTCCCCTGAAGTTACTTGATTTGCTATATGCATCTGTTCGTAGGAAGCATGAGATACAACTACAGGAATCACCTGGAATCCTGTGTTCAGTTCTGGGCACCACAATTCAAAAAAGATGTTGAGAAGCTGGAGGGTGTCCAGAAAAGGGTGAACAAAATGGTGGAAGGTCTGGAAACCATGAAGCCCTAAGAGGAGCAATGTAGGAGCTGGGTATGTTTAGCCTGGAGAAGGGAAGGTTAAGAGGTGATGTGATAGTCATGTTTAAATATTTGAAGGGATGTCATGTTGAGGATGGAGGAAGCTTGTTTTCTGCAACTCTAGAGAATACGACATAAGGCAATGGATTCAAACTACAGGAAAAGAGGTTCCACCTCAACATTAGGAGGAACTTCTTGACAGTAAGATCTGTTCAACAGTGGATCACACTCCCTTGAAGAGTGGTGGAGTCTCCTTCTTTGGAGGTTTTTAAACAAAGTCTGGATGCCCATCTGTTGGGAGGGCTTGTAAGGATGGTTTTAGGGAATTATCCATACCTGAGACACTATTTGCCTTTTCTCCACCATAATAAAGTGTATGGCACTTAAACAAGTCTGGGGCTGTAAGTTTCTTGCTCAACACTAAAACAGTAAGAAGCAAAAGATGAAGCTTTTAAAAAATGAGAATTTGTCTCTAGAACTTGCATGGTTTGAACTCTTGCAGAATAAGATGAAACCCTTCTGTTAATCAGAAATTAAAATAGTAACTACAGTGGGCCCTCGATATCCACAGAAGTTTGGTTCCAGGCCCCCCTGTGGATACCAAAATCCATGGATGCACAAGTCCTATTATAGGCAATGGCATAATAAATAGTGGCCCTTATATAAAATGGCAAAACCAAGATTTTTTTTGGGGGGGGGATTTGGTGAGTATGTTTGAACTATGTTTGGTTGAAAATATGGATGCAGAAGCCATGGTACATAAGGCCAAGCCTATCTTGACCTACAACTCCCAGAATCTCCCAGTTAGAATCAATGCTTATTGTGGCATTCTGGGAGCTGTAGCCCAAAACAAGTACCAGTAATTTCTCAAGTTCTAGTATGAACTGCAATCCCTTCCCATGCCTAGTCAGGTTGGCTTCTCCAAACACCCATCCATTCATCCTCCCTCCCTCCATCTCTCCCTTCTTCCTCTGCTAATCCAAGAAAGCAGCTATGTGAGAGAAGGTCACTGGATCCAGGGAGAAAAGTGGCATTGATTAAAACCCTCCCAGATTTCTACTTAGGAAGGGTAATTGGGTCATCAACCTTTACTACGTACACAAGCCCCCACCTAAGATTGCTCCCAGTAGTAAAGGGGTGCTGTGCCAACATCATCCTTATAAATCCACAACAGCTCCATAAAAACGTCTCCCAGGCACCAGATGGAACTAGCTGGATTTCGCAGCAGGGTCACCAGCCTCAGTGATGGACTTTGTTTCAGGGAGATGTTCTGAGGGGGTCAAAATGGTCAATTGGTTTAGATTTTCTATGGTCCTTTGGCCTGTTGGTAATCACTGTTGGCAGGGACACAAAGAGCCCATAAATTAGTCTCAGAATAGCAAACGCATTAAATCACATCTGCTTAATGTGCAGCTGGAAGCAGGATCCGACGCTAAATTAGAGCCAGAGCTTGGGGAAATTATTTTTGGACTCTGACTCCCAGAATCCTCCAACAAGCATGACCACTGGCTGGGAGATGCTGGGAATTGTCATCCAAAAAATACCTTTTTTAAGCTTTCATACTTGCTAGGGGATTCCATCTGTTGCATTTCTCTGCACCCTCATAAATACTGTATGCACTATGCTACTTGTGTTGTGTATTGTGTATTATGTATCTGCAAAAACAGACATTCCAAAATCGGGGGGGGGGGGATCAAAATACAAAACGCTTATGATCCCAAGCATTTTGGATAAGGGATATTCAGCCTGTACTAACCAGGCCTGACCCTGCTTAGCTTCCAAGATCAGACAAAATCTGGTGTCTTCAGAGTACTTAGGTTATTTCTTTAGAGAACCAGAAGCCACAAGATAATTTCCTTTGCTTAACTAATTGTGGGTAGATTCATTTGATCCCATTGGGATTTTGTGGGGAGGACTTGTTCCTCAGATCAGCAAAACCATGGCACCATTGGTTGGTGGTTTCCTTGCTTCTGGATAGAGTCCTTCCCCCATTCTGAAAGGCTGAAATTACTCCTCCTAGTTCCTGGCTTGGCAGCAAGAGCTTTAAACTAAAATATGCAGATATTTTGAGTAGCTCTCTTTTGACTATGGCCCTGCTCATCCCCATGGGACTCACAGTCCACAAGGACTTCTCTGAAATTGAATTTGGTTCACCCTTGCAATATACAAAATTGTAGAACAAGAAACGAACAAGCAACGTAACTATCTATATACTCCATTTGAAGGCATCTGAGAAGTAAGATGCTGGACAAGGTGGAGCTTTCATAGCCTCAGCAGGACCTTCCTTCTGCTCTG